GGCGAGGCCAGTGCTGCGCCCCTGGACCCTACAGCCCTGCGGCCTGGGTGGGATCTTCCCTGCAAGGAGCCCCCTGCACCACAGCTAACGCCCCGCCGACACCGCTCGGGTTCGTGACGCCGTATGGGACATCGCGGGGGCTCTGTTTTGAAGACGACACTGACCCCTACGCTGTCCTTCCTGCCGCTGCACCGCATTCATTTGGGAAATGAATGCCCAGAGAACGTTTTCCTTTATGGACACGGGAGCCCAAATCCTCCCTGCTCCAACTACTGTGTAAGCTTTCGAACCACTCAGCAGGATTTTAAAACGTAATGAAAAGTTTTAGATGCTTTAAAAAGGAAGTAGTGAATATTTGTAAACTACAGCCAAACATATAAAACAACATTTCTTTAGTTCTAGCTAAAAAAGTAATTCTATCACCTCACAGTTCATTTTCAGCTACATTCAGGTCTAGGAATCTCCACATTCTTACGTAATGCCTTAAAGCAGCAATAGACGTTAAACAACAAAATTAAAGTTTATCAAAAAAGTCTTAAAAATATAAAAGATTTGGTTTCTGTATCCTGCATGTTCAGTGTATGTAACCTGACCAGGGTCCCTTACACCTGCTGCTACAGTTTGGGGATTTTTGGCAGTTGCTTCAAGAGAGGTTTTGTTTGTTTAGGAAAAGCAGTAATTCGCTGTAGTTCAAGTTTGCCAGCAGCAGCCCAGCAGCTGCCTCCACACTTACTGCTCAGCAAGTTGTGCCTTTCCAGCTCTAGGCTAAAACGGAATGTTTAATGCTCTGGAGGAGACTTCCCGGCTCATCAGTTATGCATAGAGCTTCCTGCGCTGGGTAATTAAAGCTCTTTCGTCCATCATTTTCTACATATCACTGCCGTTAGTCCCTTTAAAGAAAAGTTACCCTGCCAGGTTCTTTGGTTAAAGACATTTCCTCAGCTCTCCCTGCGGGGCCAGGCTGCCTTCCCGCAGCACGGGCCCGGGGAGGGATGGTGCCGTGGCAGAGT